TATATATATATATATATATATATGGTTGAAAAAATCAACAACACCTGGCTTTAAAACTGTTCGGTTTCTTTTATGGCTTGCGAAGTTTTGTTAATGAATCCAATTACCATAAATAAGGTAAACTGGTCTATAGGGGAACGCATGCGTAGTGTTTGATTGCAAGCTTTCTAAATGCAAATATCGGGGTATTTGCAGGAATTGCAGGCGCGAATTAAACAAAGTGATATTTATGTATTGCACACGCATAAAACAGTAATCTACCCAGAACCGACACGAAGACATGCTTATGTTCTTAAGTCAGCATTTTTTAAGCGAGTTAATCATGTAGGAAAACTTATACTTTAAATATCGTGCTTGTGAACAAAATAAATATAGATTAAGCTCATAAGCTCTGTAAATTCTCGTATAATAAAATAAAACCAGTGGAAAGAAAAACGAAACGCAAAAGGAAAGAATCACCTGAACTTTGTAACAGGAGAGAAATTATCTTTCCTTTAATGTTCCCTTTGAGGTTACAGTGTTCTTCGGTAAATAAACCTCAGCTTTTGATAATGCCTATTTGTAAACGCTCGCGAGCTCGTTTGAGTTTTCTTGCCGTGTTTCAACAGTCTCTTTCAAAATACGAAACCATGAATAATAAACAGCTCTGGGTTTCACGAAATGAGGACGGCAATAGAAAGGCAAATAAAGAGAAAAAAAAAGATACATAAATCAAACATTGAAGTGTGCTTGACTTTAACGGCATATTTTGCATTTGCTTCCGCGCTAAAAAAAAAGAATAGTTATATACTGTGGACGTCTTAGTCGTACGCTCTATGTTAATAGAAATATCAAAATTGGAAAAACATATACATTGTACTAAGGTTTGTTGAACACGATCTCATTTATTACAGTCTATTGAATATACATATGGTTTAAGCTGAGTTCAAATTAACTGATTACCGAAGGAGTAATACATTTGATAGTAATACAGATGCTTAACACTACTCAATGTTTTACATTTAAGGCAACATAAGCTCCAATTTTAAAGTATGAAACAGCACTAAACTAAGTGAGTTAATACACGTTGATGATACAATAGAATACTTTTAACTAGAAATACAGAACTGTTCCAAGCTTTCTGTGCGGGATAACACTATTTCATCAAAACTGAAATAATGATTAATTTTGAAACAAGTGAATAAATTTGAGCTATTGTTTCCCCGAACAACATTAAAATGAGGCTTAATGGCAGTGCAGTAATGAGGAAATAAACTTATTTTGCACGTAAGTCACGCAATCGTTTCTAAACCTTAGATCAACGTAAAGGATGAAGGTTGAAATTGGAACCAGTTTTTACAGGTGAGTAAAGTACATTAACATGAGATGTAAATAAAACACAAGCTTTATCTAAAATCTAATTAAAAGTAATTTCCTTTTAACATAATCTGACATACAGAGATATTTGTAAACGCATCGTAATTAAATGATAAAAAATAAGGTGTTTGTATTCAGTTTAATGAATCTTAATCTATTTAGCGCAGTCTAATTGAATCCCGAGAACGACATATCGTACTTTGCTATGAAACTAACTAACAGTCAGTTTCATACCTACATTCATTGGAAAACACGAATGAACGATCTTTTTTTTTGTACTTTTTTCATAACCACATAATCGTCTGGTTTACGAAAATGAATCTGTAATATACTTTTTTTTAAAGCACCATTTTAAACCTCGACGTACATATATCTTTGTATTAAATCATGCAGACCAGAAATAGTATATTATTCTTACGTGACATTTTGTAGTTTTTATTCAATCAGGAATACGTATGATTGTCTGATGTCTTTTCAACGTTATAATCCATTACTACTGATCTATGTATTATTTCAACGTTATAATCCATTACTACTGATCTATGTATTATTTCAACGTTATAATCCATTACTACTGATCTATGTACTATTTCAACGTTATAATACATTACTACTGATCGATGTATTATTTCAACGCTATAATCCATTACTACTGATCTATGTATTATTTCAACGTTATAATCCATTACTACTGATCTATGTATTATTTCAACGTAATAATACATTATTACTGATCTATGTATTATTTCAACGCTATAATCCATTACTACTGATCTATGTATTATTTCAACGCTATAATCCATTACTACTGATCTATGTATTATTTCAACGTTATAATCCATTACTACTGATCTATGTATTATTTCAACGTTCTAATCCATTACTACTGATCTATGTATTATTTCAACGTTATAATACATTACTCCTGATCTATGTATTATTTCAACGATATAATACATTACTACTGATCTATGTATTATTTCAACGTTATAATACATTACTACTGATCTATGTATTAAGCAAATCCATGAAAATCTCGTTTATTAACTTTCATCTTGTTCAAATAGATGAGAAAACCTGCAGCCTCATTAATAGAGGTTTGATATTTCTTGTCAAAAAATATTTCTCCATGAGATAACGTAAAACAAACTTTCTGATATTTTTGTTACGATAATAGACCAGTTTAGTTAGTGTTAATATAGTATACCAAAGCTCAAGGCAAATATTCACATATTTTATCTTGCTGGAACCAAAATTACACGATTATAAAATACTTTAGATATTATGTTTCGGTTATCAAGACCAAGTGAAACAGGATTATTCTTATAATGGATGGGTTATTTAGGCCTACACCGTGTGTCTCCATTCATGCTTTAATGGGATTAGCCCCCCAGTAGCACAGTGGTATGTCTGCGGAATTACAACGCCAGAAACCGGGTTTCGATACCCGTGGTGGGCAGAGCACAGATAGCCCACTGTATAGCTTTGTGCTTAATTCAAAACAAACAGGCCCGGCATGGCCAGGTGGTTAAGGCACTCGACTTGCTATCTGAGAGTCGCGGGTTCGAATCCCTGTCACATCAAACATGTTCGCCCTTTCAGCCGTGGGGCGTTATAATGTGACGTTGTTAAAAGAGTAGCCCAAGAGTTGGCGGTGGGTGGTGATGACTAGCTGCCTTCCCTCTAGTCTTACACTGCTAAATTAGGGACGGCTATCGCAGATAGCCCTCGTGTAGCATTGCGCGAAATTCAAAAACAAACAAATAAAACAAACTTAATGGGATTATACGTTGGTTATAAAATCGTTTATTAACTAAACACTTAAAAAAATGTATGTCTTTATTAAGCACAATCCTGTGTATATTTTAAGTAAAGTTAGTTAAACTAGATTTACTTTCGCAGGGTCCCCGAAAGTTTCAAAAGTAAATGAATCTGTATGTCATGCTGTGTTGTAGCCTACAGAATGCATAATTCTTCTCGTGATTCATGGCATGAGCACGTTTTACTGACGTCAAGACAGTACATATTAGAACGTTAAGCGTCCATTATGTGACGTCATTTTAGTGTCTGCAGACAACACACTACTGTAAAGTGATGCGAGTGGTTAAAACAGGTGACCCCCTCCAGGCGGCTTTCGGCCCCCTTTCGGGGAAATTAATTATAGTTGATTAGAAGTGGATAATTACTAATATTAAGTTTGTTTTCAGACTGTCAAATAATTTGAAACCAAAAGACTCGATAAGGAAAGTTTGTTTTATCGAAATGGTGAAAGTTACATAATCATAGCAAATGGGATAATGAGACAGAAGGATTTCGAAGAGCGTTTGTAGGCTGATCAATTAATAGCGCGCATATAAAATTGCAAGTATCATAGTAAAGAAAACATTGCTGTGTAAAAGGGAAACGTAAACAGGTAGATGAAAACATATGTTTCATATTGAGCCTTCAGCTCAGCTGTTTTTATAATTATTCACAAGAAAATTTCTAACAGATTATTTTCGGAGACGTTTTGTAAACAACGTTTTTTTTTTATTTATAGAAATAAAAACTAAAGTGTCAGAAATACATCGACTAGTAGCGATAACACAGCTAGAGAAACATTTCGTAAGATAAAAAAAATCACGATAGAAATATCGATTACCGGCAGGAACTACAGTGAAAATACATGGTTTCCGTTGTATACCAATGTCATTTGTACCCCAGCACAGTAATGACCCGTAGTCGTCGTGCGTCTCTGGTGTGAAGGTAGCGACGCTCTGGGTTTTGTTGTTGCTGTATTGTATTTGACTTGACTGTTTAGTGGAACTATTAAACAACCAGCTGAAAGTGACGTCATCCGGATCGGCATCTAGGTTACATGATACAGCGACGGTCTCTCGTATCGCGACTCCGTAGGTTGTTTTTTGTCCTAACTGACACTGAGGAGCGTCTATAAGGAAACCAAAACTCAGTAATATTAGTCTACAAACCTGAATTTTTTGAAACTATATTATTCGAATTTTATTTACAAGAGCATTTTACTGCTTTGTTTAGGAGTGTTTAGATGACTCCAGTCTATCACTAATAATTTCATTAGTGTGGTTTATATTTTACGTTTCATCAAATAGCATAAAAGAAGAATAAAAAGATGTCCACGATTTACTTATAAGTGATGCACTGTCACCATATTATACTTCTATTGGTTGACATGAGGGGGCAGTGCAAACACAATTATTTTTGCTGTAAATGAATACAAATAAAGTTACTGCTGTAATTTTAAGTGTCAAATATATAGGAAAAATTTACTAGTACTTTTTACACTTGTGAGAACATGACACCTTACATTTTAAGGCGACTTTATTGTGTTTAACATTTAAAACAACTTATCTGATGACGTACATTTAACATCAATGAAAATTTTGTTGCTAATACCCAACCCTTCAGTGTTGCTTGCTGAACAGGTAAAGTAGCCTCTATGAGAACGCTGGACGCGCCGTAGAACGAGTGTTTGGTTATTAATGTTGACTGCAGGGGTAAAATTGTTTGTTAATTCTTGTCCTTCGAACTGCCAACTGATAGAATGAACCCAAGGAGTCGCCTGGATGCTACAGTCTAAGTATACGTCATTTCCTTCTTGAGTCTCTTCGGACGCAGGATTTATTCTGAGGTGAAGGGTCACTTGAGGAGGAACTGTGGACAGAAAGACGAACATGAGTTGATCTCGTCAAAAGACCTACTTCTAACGATTAAAATTGGATAAAAAAAGACAAAGCTGGTTTAACTCGTTCAGTGGTTTAAAATGTATGACTTGCTAAAACAAGTATTTTACTGTTAGTTGTTCAGTCCAAACAGTTATGTAATGTTCGGCGTTAAGTTATACTAAACATGAGAACGAAAATACTTGAAACGGACCATAAAACGGTAATTAAAATCAAGAGGTTTGTTTACACTTATGTAATGATACACATAAAACAACATTCTTTTTTTCATTCACAATCAAACTTTAATTATAGCTTGTTGTTACAACTCTACATGTTTCGATAATATTTCACTATTATCATCAGCAGTGATTTATATTAAGTATTTTTCTAAAATGTCGTTAACTTATGTTCTAAGATTTGAAATCACGATTCTGAACATAAATGAAAAGATATTTCACTAACAATCTAAGTACGATCTTTCTGAATGTCAAGCTGGAATTAATTTAATATCTTAATAAAATAAAGATTACTTTTTAAACCTATGATATTAAATATTTTGAATGTTGATAATTGATAAACTAGAAAGGCAATCAGAGACTGCAAATCCCGCCCTATAAAATGTTTTGGATTTTTCTTTTTCTGCATTAACAAACCTAAAATATACTTTGTTTGTGTGTTTTATAGCAAAACCGCATTGGGCTATCTGCTGTGTTCACTGCGGGGATTCAAACCCTGTATATTAGTTTTCCTAGTCCGTACACTTAACGCGGATTCACCGGAGGGCCCTAAGACTTACACCAAACAATTCGTCACCATGAAATATGTATATCTAGGTTCTAAGTTCCTCTTTCTATATGAATTTGTTTTGACCGTTTCTCAAAATCTAATTTAGCTAACATAATAACGAAAATATTGTAGCGTCAGCGTGACATTGACCTTTTACCTTCACAAAGGTTGAATCAGAATTGATCCTTGGGAGACATTCAATCTTTGTACCAAATTTTATAATATTCCTATTCATACAAGAATATAAACAATATCTCGCCGTTGGGTAAAAAGTGTTTTAAAGACGTGTAGGTTTTATTGTTACCTTGATTTTGAAGGAAATTAAAAAGGAAAAACTAATTCATTATTGAACAATGAAAATATTTAGAAGTTATTAATTTCATATATTTATGAAACAATTTCCAAAAATATTAAACTGTCTTTTATAACGCTATTAGCAATATGAGGCGTTTCTACTTTGTAGGATAAATGCTGCCAATTATCCTCAACAGATGGCAAAAACGTTAGTGTAATAACGCTGAAATATCTATAAAAATACTATGAAGATCTCAGAAAGAAATAACAAATAGAGAAGTATTTCGAATTAAATAAAACATATCGTCCTCTGAATTGCTTTCTAGATCTAACTCTTTGTTGTATGACAAGCAAAACCCACGAAAACCAAACAAAATGACACTTCTTATTTTTTTTTGTATTTTTCTTATCATTTCCTCTCGGTCCTTCCCAACCCTATTTCCTTGATAACATCACACAGATCTTTGTCTGCACTTCTGTATGACGTTTCTTCAGTAAAATACAGTTGATAGAAGTCTGTTTGATTTTCAAGCTGGTTAAGATTCTTCTTATGATCGAACAATTCAAAATGGTACAATTCAGTCTTGATTCTTCAACAATAGTTTTACTTTTTTTAGAACATATTCATTAGAATCATTAACTACTATCTATTGAAGATGCACAGTATTTGTCAATTTATATAATTTGAAGCTCAGTTGAATGTTCAAGCTTTGCTTTGATTTTTAGTTTGATTTGTTCTGTTATCCAACTTGTGTTATCATTGTCGCACAGAAGACTTTAGCAACCAAATCACGTAATAATAGCAATGTGATCTAAGTAGTATGACAGAAAATTACTTACAGAAAATCTCTAATTTCCAACTGTCTTCTATAATGTAATCCGGAATTTGAGGATTTTCTGCTTTGCAGTTTAAATGCTTTCCATTGTCCTCAACAGATGGCACAAACGTCAATATACTTGTACTGACCCCCGCGCGATTTACGCTCTCTCTGGTATGTTGCATCTGTTTATCGTCTTTCCACCAAGTAATCTTTGCTGCTGGACGAGAACCGTTGGAAGAACATGTCAAATCGACTTCTTTGTCTGCCGGCAGGGGTCGTTGATAAGGGTGAATTTTAATTTCCACTGGTTTTACTATGTAATGACAAATAAAAAGTAATTTAACCAAAAATCTACCAGGGTGTGAAATATTGTATTTCAATTAACATAACAGAAGAAATATGTAAAATAAGTTTTATCTTTGAATAATACAATCCCATTTCAGAATGATGTAGCAATATTAAACTAAGACAACTGATATAAATGCACCATTTTCAGAGACCAAAACCAATAAAAACGTGACTGTTAAATGACTGATGTTTTTCGTACAATATGATTGGTCAACTCACAATTTAGATCGAGCGTCACTGCACTTGACGATGGTACTGTGATATTGTTATTCGAAGCCTGGCACGTGAGAATTGCCAATAAATCGTGACGTTTCAACTCAGTAATTTTCAACTGGTTTTTCACCACATCCTCCGGTGTAAAAGCGTAATCATCGTCTAGAATACTATACTCTCGCCACCAAGTCACCGACGGGCGAGGTTTACCTGGAGAAACATAATAGTTACTCAGACTTATAGATTATTTCCTGAGGGTAAAACATCTTTTAAAAACACATTTCCTTTTAATCGTTCGTGTGGAGATCAAGGATTACTGAATAAATTCATAGTTACTAGTAAGGATTACTGAATAAATTCATAGTTACTAGTAAGGATTACTGAATAAATTCATAGTTATTAGGTGCTAATTACTAACTAGTTTTTTATCCTGCATTTTTGCTGCTAATATGATGCCGTCTTCAGGACATTCCTGAGAAAGAGAATTTCTCTGGTGGCACTAGTAGGATTCGAACCTGTGACTTCCTGATAAAGAGAGGCTATTGTGTTATCCCCTCGTTTGCATTAGCATCAGGAATGCAATTATTTGGCAATTAAAACAATTAATAAGAAACTAATAGTTAGATTTACATGATTGTATAGACTACATAACTGCGACAACGTTTTATATATCCGATCGTCAAAATATTATTTTTAAATATTAAGTATTTTGTCCGGTTTTTATTGATGTGTATATAGACAATTAATATTCATTTAGACGCCGCGTGCAATGTGACAATAATTTCTAATTGTAAAATTAAGACATACATCTAAACATCCTCAAGCAAAGTGGAAAACGGAAGAAGTTGAAACTAAATGTACTTATTGGTACTTTAAAACTAAAGCGAGAAATTAATCTCATATTTTACAAATAAACTATGACTCTTCTTGAGTGTTAATCGTTAAGCCTAAAACCATACATTACTGTGGCTCTCAGTCATAAAGGTTGTACTTCCCTACAACTATAACTCTTCTTGAGTGTTAATCGTTAAGCCTAAAACCATACATTACTGTGGCTCTCAGTCATAAAGGTTGTACTTCACTACGAAAAGTTTGATAACTCGTGAAAAACACGTTAAGTGCTAGAAAGTATATTTAGAAATTGAACAAACTTCAACACATTAATCTCAGTTGATCCAGACTTCAGAGACAGATATATCTCCGCACCCTTTTATGCGACTAGTTACAAAGTGATAACAGCTCAGCCAATAAGCTCTTAGCATAGCTACACTATCAGAGAGTTGGCTCCTCCTAAATTTACTTTTGATGCCAACTAGTTCTAAAATTTGTGTATAAAGCTTAAGATGTTATATAAATGATCACTTTCCAACTATATCGCTGACTCGAGATATAATTTGATTTTTTTTCTTTCATTCCTGACATTGGGAAGTTATGAAAGGCACTTTAAATGCTTTTTGAAAGCTCTGAATGAAAATGCTGAAAAAAGCAATTTTTCTAACACTATTTCATGACACCATAACGATCCTGAACACTACTTGAACGTTATTTGTTGTTGTTGATTTTTTATCTATGTTTTTAGATTTTGGGATCAAAGAAGTACGAACTTTTGATTAGGAGCTCATAAAAAATATTTTACGTTGTACAACTTTTTCAGAAATAAGAATCACCCAGAAAGACAAATAAATAAAAAAACGGACGTGTTTTTTGTTTATTTTTCATTCGGTAAAAGTTAAAACCATACACTCCAATATTTATTACATTAAATTTTGATAACACTTATATTCTTAATAAATGCTAAAAATTTACATCAATATAAAGTTTGGTAAATACAGTTTAACCACGTTTGTAAGGGTCAGAAGATAAGGCTTTTGTTTTTTTCCTGACTTAAAAAATATGGTTGTATATTAAGATAATAATGTTAGTCAGTGAGTAGCCGGTTTAACAAACTGCTTATTGATATATCTAAGATATCACACGCAGTTTGATATGTCATTCATAAAAATATCTTTAATTTGCAATTTCCTCATAAAAAAAAATCAATAACAGTATATAACGAAGGTCAAATGAATATTTGTTGTTTATGGGAAAATGCAGCATGGTAGGAAAAAAATAAGTTGAATATAACGTTGAATAAATTATAAAAATATCCCTAGTTAAAAAAATGTAATTTTAATGTAAGTCCTTTTAAACCATATGATCTAATGTGTTTCACGCTACAAAATTTCACTTGAAACTTAAGGTGATTATAAAAAAAATCTGCCAATTTAAAACAATTATATCTTAAAATATACTTGCTCTAGAGTAACTGAAATACACCAGAGGGACATAATTCTTATCAGATATTTTCTGAAGAAACAATGAAATATTTAAAAACGTTATTAACAGCAAAATATTACCGAATAGCTTAGGAACATCAGAAAAAAATGGTTGAATTTCGAATCACACTTACCACCGCTGACGTGGCAGATTAAATTCAGAGATTGTCCCTCGTTAAAAGGTCCTATCAAGCCTTTAAGATGCCGACCTTGTTCGTTGGTGATTACAGGTTCTTTCGGAGGAACTGGACAAGGAATTATTAGATCGTAAAAGAGCAGTTTACTCACAGTGGAAATATGTGCTTCTTGAGTAAATTTTTGTCTAGCAAATTGCTGTTTTGATCGACTCTATATATACATGATGATTTTCGATCTCACCAAACACATATTTAGTGCTAGTTTAGCTTTTAAATGTACTTAATATTCAATTAAATAACAAACAAAAACATAATATATTTTCAAAGTACGGGTTACTATGTGACAATAAAATCATTAAATGTATACTACGATCCTTAAAGAATTTTTAACTCTTGTTTCCACTCTGGAAATTGCATTGTGTGTGTTCATTATATCAACAGATCACACAGGAGGAAATATAATATTTCAATTGCCCAACAACTAACTGAAGCGTTAATTAACTATAATTATTTGTCAGAAGATAATATCACTCTCACAAGGAGGAGCTCACTCTATAGAAAAATAATTAAATTAAATCGATATTAAGCCTATAACACCCAAGTTAATGAATTACAATAGCCATGTAGTTTTATTCTCTCTACAAGGAAAGGATTACAATAATTCAATTTGCTCTTTTATTGTTAACATTATCTACAAAGAGAATAGGTAACAATTAACATTCGTTTTCAATATGGTTCACTTAAGACTTTGTAATGATATTTTTGGTTTCTAGTTTTTACTTTAGAAACTAAGTAATGTATATGCTTCTCTTCTTTGGTAAAAGGTTGAAATCTGTTAACAGAGACTCCTGAAAGTTGTTAACAATTTGTTTCTTCATTATGAATGATAAACTTAAAAAAAAACAACATCAAGTGTTCTGATCTATTAGGAACCGAAATAATCTAATTGTACGTCAAGAAGTAAAATATAATGTGTTCTGATCTATTAGGAACCGAAATAATCTAATTGTACGTCAAGAAGTAAAATATAATGTGTTCTGATCTATTAGGAACCGAAATAATTTTATTTCGGTTCCTAATAGATCAGAACACATTATATTTTACTTCTTGACGTACAGTTACTAGGTAGTTGTAGTCCACTTTACTGGTACCTTCTCCCCAAAAAAGCTTGTTGTTTCCTAATATATAGAAACCATCTTTAAACTAAAGCTCTTGGTGTTCTAATTTATTGGAAACTTCTCAAGAAGCAAGTCTTCTTTAGCCTAATCTGTTCGAAACATCTCCAAGACAGAGATTAATATAATATCTAATTTATCAGTGAAAACCCAAAATTGACGTGGTTTGATGCATTAAAATTGTCTAAACATACAACTGATTGTAGTCTGATCTGTTGGACAAGACTCAAGGAATCTAAGCAACTGGGAATCTCTGCCAAGAATCAAGTTTTTGTTGTCTAATTTATTAGGAGACTTTCTTCAGTAAAAAAAAATTCTGTACTCTTATTTAGCGGGAATTCCCTCAGGAAACAGCCAGTTGTAGTTAAATTTACTGGAACATTTCCAAAAATAACTCGTGTTGTCTAATTTACTGGGAACATATTTAAGAAGAAGAATGGTGTGTTCCTAAACTTTTTTTTTTTACTCTAGAAACCGAAAAATCTTCGTTACAAAAGCTTATAAACTGTTAGGAGGTCCATAAAGCCATACACTACGGTATATGAACCACACATATGAAGTGCACTGAATGTAGATAACTATAGATAGGGTTGTAAATATATGCTTGAAAGGATTTACAATTTTTGTAAGATGAATATTTTATTGAAAGAGAATTAATCATTCAGTTGATGTTTCTTCAGACCAACGGTTGGAAACCAGTGGAATCTAATCTGCAAGGAAGTTTACGAAAAATGTGGTCTAGTCTAAAAGGTTTTCTAATTTAATCTATTGAAAACATGCGCAAGGAACAACTTGGCGTGGTCTCATATGCTTCGATTCTTCCAAAGAAATAGCTTGTTGTGTTCTAAGTTATTGTGGTCTGTTTCAAGAAATAGATTGTTTCTGTCTGATCTAATTGAGACTCCTTCAGGAAATATTTTGTTCCGGTATGATATATTATTCAATTTCCAATTCAGGGGTAGTTTCAGCTACAAACAGGCTATAGGTGCTGTGCAACTCACGAAGATCACCAACACTGAAATAGAAGGGATGAAGTAGCTACTTCACTAAATCGTAAACTTTTTGACACAGCAGGATCTGGAATAGCCGGAAGATTAAAAAAAGGCGCTACAATTAAGAGTAGAAAAATCACCACTCAACAGAGAACAACGAAACACCAACAATTTTGGTCTCATTCTATTGATAGCAGGCTTTCTGTTGTACACAGACTGTTTTCATTAGTGGCCTCAGCTAAGAGTTTGATATACATAAAGACATAATCATAATTACAAAAACTTTGATTAATTCACCCTATTATGTTAGGTCAATTTAATAACTTGATTAACTCACTCTACTGTCTAAGGTCAAATGTAATATTCTGATTAACCCACTCTTATTGTTCAAGGTCAAATTTAATAAGTTGATTAACTCACTCTATTGTTCAAGGTCAAATTTAATATCTTGATTAACCCACTCTTATTGTTCAAGGTCAAATTTAATATGTTGATTAACCCACTCTTATTGTTCAAGGTCAAATTTGATATGTTGATTAACCCACTCTTTTGTTCAAGGAAAAATTAATATTCTGATTAATCCAATCTATTGTTTGATATCAAATATAATATTTTGAACTCTATTGTTTAAGGTCAAATATTATATGTCGATTAACCCATTCTATTGTATAAGGTCAGATTTAATATTTTCACTAACTCACTCAATTAAACTATGAAATTTGACCTTACATAATAAACTCGCTCTATTATCTAAGTTTAGATTTACTGTATATTTATGAATATTGTTGTTATGTATGAAATGCTACCTTACAGTGGCAAGGCTGAGTAGAAGATAAATCAAATAAAAAAGGCCCGGCATGGCCAGGTGGTTAGGGCGCTCATCTCGCAATCTGTGGGTCGCGGGTTCGAATCCCCGTCACACCAAAAGTCTCGCCCCATCAGCCGTGGGGACGTTCTAATGTGACGGTCAATCCCACTATTCGTTGGTAAAAGAGTAGCCCAAGAGTTGGCGGTGGGTGGTGATGACTAGCTGCCTTCCCTCTAGTCTTACACCCCTAAATTAGGGACGACTAGCGCAGATAGCCCTCGTGTAGCTTTGCATGAACTTCATAACAAACAACCAAATAAAATAAAAAACGTTTTTTTTTAAGTTTAAAAACGGATATACTACATAAAAAATACCCAGTAAGTTCACTTCTGGTTGTTTGAGGCATCTCTCATTAACCAAAAGTTTCTCAATTTCTGATAAGATATTTGAGAGAAATAGGCGTTGGTACATTATTATAGTGTATATCATACATATAATTTTATCTCAGAGAATCCAAGTAAGCGACCATAGCACCAGCTAAAGCTTATTTTAAAATAATCTAGAAATTGACAAAAAAAAATTCTGCAAGGTTTCGATAGAGTTTTTTTTTTATTTAACTTAATGCTTGAGATTAAATACCAAATTTTCACAGAAATGATCAAATACAAAAGGAAAAGAACCAGGGTTGTTAATATGATTTTTTTCACAGTAAAAGGGGATCACATTATGAGAGAAATAGATGGATAGACGAAACCATTATATGTTTGATCCACGATAACCGAAAGGTGAATTCAGTAAATGCAAGTATAAAAAACATCTGGAATGCCTGGAGGTTTGAGAGTATGAAGAATAAGGCCTAGGGTCATGAACTGGAAAGTCGTTTGTTATCGTGGCAAAGTGGATGCAGTAGTTATTTCTAGATAGAGATGTGAACGCTGCCGGATACTACATCATTTGGACAGTGTCCTTGTCCAATAACAGCCCGCGTTTAGATGATTGTTGTTATAAAGTCTGGGCGTTTTGTTTCACTATAGTTTCTGTTTTCTAAACGATATGAGTTCCTTTGTGTGGTAATAATAATAATATGTGGTTCTTTAGATGTGGAGTTTTTGTAATAAAAAGAACATGGCATTGAGCCAGTTATGCAGGAGAACTATCCGGACTTTTGTTAATATAAAATATAATTAATTAACACCTAGAATATATTCTAGAGCACTATCAAAAGTTTTAGTGGTTTAAAATTACATCCTGGTTGATGACAGAAGTACTTACAAACAGGAGTTAATTTAATTTTAAAGATGCGTGAGGAATGAATTGTGGTATTGTCAAGTACATCAAACATTTTGGTATGGTTTTCAAACGAGACCCAAAACTCGAATTGTTCACTATTCTTCTTCAGGAGAATAATAATAACAATAAAACATCAGTACAAAACTAGTGACAAAATTATTGTTATTTTTTGTAGAAATTAAATAAAAAATTATATTATGTGTTACCAGAGCGGAATCAAAAGGGCTGCAAATGCATAAAATGTCAGTTTTCATTCATTAACGCTTACCGCTATCTTATATTTGACCCTTGTCCACGAATCCCGCGCATGTCCAATGAATAACATTGGATGTCAACGGGTCACCAGTAGTTAAAGTAGTATTGTTTTCGTTAGGTTGCATTAACTTGAAACATTGTCAACGGGTCACCAATAGTTAAAGTAGTATTGTTTTCGTTAGGTTGCATTAACTTGAAACATTGTCAACGGGTCATCAATACGTAAGGTAGTATTGTTTTAATTACCTTGAAGATGCAATTCAAATCTCTGTTGAACGATTCTAAAGAGAAATCCTCCATGAAACATGAGGTGGGAAAATTAGATCGATCCTCTATCTACAAAGTTGTACAAAGGGAGTAAAAAACAAGGTGTATATAATCTAATGGTCTATTGTGAAACAAGTACCATAACAAAACGAATTATTGATGTGGGGATTGTAGATATATATATAAAAATGTCTATCTATTTTAAAAATTACCGAATTAAAGTAATAAGTATGTTATAAGCGGAGTCGAGTGTGACTATGTGATGAGGGTATTAAGACTGTGAATCCAATGGTTCATGGTTGGTGCATTTTTCTACAAAAACGCGCTCCGCACTTTAAGATCGTTGGGGCACTATAACAGTGTGACTGTCAAATTCCATTATTCGATCAGACAAAGGTAGCCCGAGATGGCGTTGTATGCTGTTGACTAACCGCATTCCTTTTAGTTTTATTAGTTAAAAATGAGGGATGGCTGTACGCAAATAACCCCTTGTGTAAAAAAAAAAAGGAAACAACAACCACAACAGAATGATAAACATGTAATTAAATATTGATCACAAACATTGCTTTTACTTATGAATCATTTTTCAAAAGTTAATAGCGAAAAGCACCTGTTTTGTTCGATCACTTAACAGTAATTACGATTCCAAAAACAAATATACCAATACTTAATGCTCTTATCCAATTTGTTGACCCAAGATAATGCAAGTTCACAATATCAGTAAGGAAGTAGGGTTAATTATGTCTTAAAGGCTTTTAGAAACACACATTCGTGTATTTTTTCACGTGTTATTACTACGATCACTAATTGTTAATTATGGAGAAAAGCACAGGCGTTGTAAATAACAAGCATTATTTATTGGTACAAGTCAATATCATTGACTAAAAATATTGTTTGGTAAAAAAAAAACTATGGTGTTAGGGTTATAATTCGACATTGACAGAAAAGATTGAAAATTCTTTTGTAAAAAAACGACAAAAACAAAACAGCTGTGACACAACTTGACAACATTGATAACAAACATGGATGAAAAATCACTTGTAAATAATCATCATTCTTAATGATACAACTCGACAATATTGGCAAAAGACAAACAATGTCACACGTAAAAACTATTGTTATTAAGTGACACAACTCGACAACATTGATAACAAACATGGGTGAAAAATCACTTGTAAATAATCATCATTCTTAATGACACAACTCGATAAAGTTGTCCCCCAAAAAATTGGCTGAAAACTCATAAATAAAACCAAAATTATTTCTTAAAATGAAAAAATATAATACAAAAAAGCATTGCTGACAAACCACTGAAGTTTTTATTTCATGCAGGCTGTAGCTTTTTAATTTCAAATATCTTTTTTCTTCTATTCTTTTTTTTTTTGTACAGATTTACAGAGACGGTTTCCAAGCTTGGCCGCGCCGGTTTCAAGAACTGCTTTACTTGCCGCCGCTTTTCCTACTCGTATCCTCTGTTTACGCTTGATTTCCGATTTTGTTTCTGCCCAACAACTGGAGGCGCGTTTAGACAACAACAAAGAAAACAATCACAGTGTGCTAGGAAATAAGACAAACGTTTTAGAGGTAGCTCAGTTACTGTGTTCCTGTGGGATCAGCCACGAAGACAACACGGATTTTTCCGTCATTCGCACTAACTCAGTGACGCTTGAAGAATATCAAGACGGAGTATTGAAGCTGATTTCGTCCTTAAAGACAAGATAGCCCGCCTACATCATGCCCTTAAAGATGGCGGGTATTCCTCTCAGAAAGAAATGACCAGAAACGATCGCTAAGTCCAATAATGATGCTTTGGATCATCTGCAGTCACGAAAAGTGATTTTCTTAGAGCCATGGATAATTTTTTTATATAGCTTAATTGAAAAATGGGAAAACCTTTTTGGTTATTTTAAAATGATTAATTAGAAGTGCTGACGATAATAAAGAGTTCATTATATGTATTTTCTTATAGAATAGTTATTACGCGATAAGAAAAAAAAATCCTTAATCCATTCTCAGTTAAAATTACACGCAATTATTAATATAAGGATGCTAAGACTGACTTCAAAATCTCCATGGCAACGAGTAGTTATATGAAGCTGCGAGCAAACTTTTCCTTCGAAGTTTCAGTTTTGAGTTTGTTCTTTTTTTATATAAGAGATTGGGAAGATTGGGACTCTCCAATTATTTACGTAACTAAAGGAACTAATCACCAATAGCATAAATGTCGACAAATACACGAAGATAAAAATATATAAAACAACCCTAGCGGTATAAACTTCTTGGGGAAGTCTACATGAATCAGATCTAGAAGAGAAACAGAGATGCAACAGTAACTTTATAGAATTGTACAGAATAAAGTAGATCTACGGGAATAGGATTGTTGAAAAATATACCAATAGCCAGATTTACAGTCGTTGAAACAGACTAAAAAAAAGACAAATCTAGAAAAGTACGGTGTTTGAAAATGTCCAGTGTCGTTGAAAAAGATTAGAAAAAGAGAGACAAATCTAGAGAAGTATGCTTCTTGAAAATGTTTAACGTCATTGAAAAAGACTAGAAAATAAAAATCAGATCAAAAGAAGTATGGTGTTTGAAAATGTCTAACGTCGTTGAAATAGACTAGAAAAAAATCTAGAGAAATATGGTGTTTGAAAATGTCTAACGTCATTGGAAAAAAGCCAGATCAAAAGAAGTATGGTTCTTGAATATTTTAACGTCGTTGAAACAGACTAGAAAAAATCTAGAGAAATATGGTGTTTGAAAATGTCTAACGTCGTTGAAATAGACTAGAAAAAAATCTAGAGAAATATGGTGTTTGAAAATGTCTAACGTCGTTGAAATAGACTAGAAAAAAATCTA